TCGTTCGACAAAACTCTGAAGAATGCGACATTGAACAATACGATAAATTAATGACATTTATTGTAGAAGTTTTCGATTTTTTACTTGAAAACATTATAAATAATGTATACAGCTATAGAAGCAATTAGTCATATGGAAACTATTTAAATAATTTTATAAATCTAGAAAACAAGAAATAGTTCGCTTGACTATAAAACTACTTTAGTCATCATGAAAATTTAATAACAAAACTTTAGCAAAAAACAAAAAAAAAACAAAGAACATTATTATTCAGTTTTGTTCGTTTTTTGTTGTTCAAATAATTCTTGTATTTGTTGTGTTGCTGTCATTTGTGGATATTCCATTTCAATAAGATCTTTATCTGGATATGTTCGTGTTATTCGATCAATTGATTTATTTGTAAATGGTGTCCATATACCTTGTACTGATGGAGAATCTGTATGCATTTGTTTTAATAATCTCCATTGTGGATCACCTTGTTGTGTTAATAATGAATGTATCCACCAATTGACTTGTTGCCGATCACAATTAGAAAGTGGTATCCATTGACGATCACCACTTAAATATTCTCCAATTAAATTTGGTGCACGATGACGACGTGGTTGAACATAAACAACAACATATGGATGTTGACGAGCAAATTTCATTAAATCATTAGCAATCCATTCGCGTGTACCATAAGATGTAACAAATTCTTTACATACTTGTATAGTTAATCGTTGTAATTGACAAACATATCGAGAACCGACACCATTTTTAAGATGTGTTGAAATATATTTTGCTGGTGTAATCTCATCAAATGAATGAAATGAACGTATTGATTGAATAGGTAATGAAATAATACGCCGAAGAAATTGAGACATCTAAAGCAAGAAAAATATTTTTTTTTTTTAGAAATATGTGAAAAATTGCAATGTGTGCATCTGTGAATGAATGAAATGAGTAACAACAAAATTTATGAATAGTCAAAAATATTCCATCAATTGAAAGATATCATAGATGACGCTAGTCATTGTATTGATATCTGCTTCCAAAGATCGAATTTGTGGTTGTCACATCACATACGATATATGGATAGCCCTAGTCGCCTCTTCGGAAAAGAAAATCTGGATAAAACTCTGGTTGACATCCACCTATAAAAGGGCTTGAGAATACTTCGGAGACGTGATCATACAGCTCACCACTCCTATACGGACGTATATTAACTATTGTCAATATATATATTAGACATTTACGTCTCCAATACTGTACTGTTTTTGGTACATATTTTTCTATTAGTTATAGAGCTGACTATGTTATTCTTTATTATTAAACTCAACAGAAATTCCAAGCCAATAATGTATTTGAACCATTTTTACATTTATTGTATTTATTTCGTCCTATAAAACATTATTAATTCATAACGAAAAAAAAATTATCCAAAAAAGTTTTCTCATTAATTAATGGGTACAATATTCATGGAATTGAATCCATACACAGATTGTCAACGAGCTTCATCATTTTATAATTTATCTTCGATTCTTGATAAATTCATGGCAAAAAAGTAAAGCTAATAAAACTTCATTGTAAAAGACGAGTTGAAAGAAGCACTTCCGTCGAACTGTTTAATTATTCGTATTTTACAATATTAATAAATTTTCATGACAAAGATTACAGGTTTCAAAGCAACATACATTTTTCATTTTGTCAGCATGTAAAACTATTCTCTTGACTTTTATCACTTACGTTAGTTGATAAGAACCACTGACATAAGACTATAATCTTAACATAGTATTTGCCGAACCAGTCGTTTTACATATTGAATATTAAAAAGAGGCTCAACATTTTCCCACTTATTAATATACCAGCTATGTTATGCGTTTTGATTCTATGTAAAATTGATTTTGTTTTACGTCGCTCTCTGTGTCACGATGATTTTCCTTTGTAATTATGGATGTGGGTGACCCTTCAATCATAGCCACACCCTACACCCATGACCCACTTAGTAGTATTAGGGTTAAACATAAATTACCGATAATTTATATTTATTGTAAATTGACAGGAAAATGATACCCCAAGCATACTTGATGTATTCTTTAAACGATCCGATAGGTATCCAATAATAATGAAATTACAATTACTGTAGTTCTTACTCCTATCCAATAGTTCCTGATAGAAGGATGGATATATGCATCAGAAAAGCTTTATATCATTGCGTCTATTCAACAACTATTCTATGATCAGTAATACTTTGCTTTGTACTGAATCATCTACATGAAAAAATAATATACTATGAATTTTTTCTAAAGAAGAAGAAAAGAAACTTGCTGATTTAATAAAAAATAATGACAAGTCAATCATATTTTATAAACCAAAAAATCTCATATTTTTTTATCACTAATAAATTAAGGTTTCTTAAGTAAAACGAACAAAAATTTAAAGAAATTCGTAAAAACATCATTATATGCATCAAAAGCTTTATTTCGATTCGAACCCGATGAGTAAAAATTTTCAAATCCGAATCCAGTCAAAATCTAATTTTTAGATCCGGACCCGATGGGCTGTAACCCATACCCACACCCCAATATTTAATTCCACATTGATCATACTCATTCGCTAAACGATATTCCATTACAAAAGTTTAATTATTATTTAATTTATTATTTATCATCTTATTTATTCATTCGCATATTTGTTTCTTATTTCTTTTTTTTTTCAATAAAACACACTCATTCATATATAACATCTTTTTTGAATAAACAGGACATCTATTTTGAAATATCTTCTATCACTCTTAATAGTGGCGTGCTTCTTAGCCAGTACAAATTTTTTCTGTTCTGTCTTTGTGTACAGAATTATTGAGGATCTGCTGTATTCTGCACATGTACTATAAATCAAGAACACGAATGTTGAAGAATTATTTTAGATGCGATATGAATAAATTCTAGAATAGCTTTTTCTAGACTGAAACTGAGACCAGAAAAACTAAAATCACCGAGACTAAGACCATATACAACTATGATACCGCACATCTCTAATCTCGATATTTCATTAGTAATTTTATCCGTTCAGCAAACGAAATTTTTCGTTGATTTATATTCTCGACAAGAAAAATAATTCATTAGGTTTTGTTGATTATTTTATTTTAGATCTTATCAATACTAAGTTTTATTCTCTATTGTTTTTCAATCGAAATTTGCATATTTATTGAAGTGTCATTTTTATTTGTCTTTAGAATTTACATTTATTATTGTCTGGCTTTAATTATGGTTAATTTCTATTCGTCTTTTTTTTTCTAGGATTTGTACGAAATTCATCGAAGAATTAGGTGCGAAACAGAGTTGTAATAATTTTGAGATATGTTTCAGATGAATGATCTTATCAAAAGTGATATTGAAAAAATTGAACAAGCTTTGAATATTTGTATTGATGATGTTGGCATTGATATACAATTAAATGATGGTAAGAATTCAAATTATTATTTTTATAATACTATGCATTTCAACAAACCATTCAATCTGAGTGCTCAGACTTCAAAGTTTGAATATGGATTTTTTTCTTGTTGTCAAATCAAAAGAAATTCTTCCGATTGTTTTTCTTTATCTGCTGGCTAAAAATGGAAATTACTTGAAATGGAAGATTGATCTGAAAAGGACAGTAGAGGAAATATGTCAAATGATCTCGTGGATAAACGATTAAGATCAAGTTCGTTTGTCTGGAGACATTCTTTTGAACTCTATGTCTATGATCAATTTCTTATTTCGATTCGATCGGATTTAATCGAGTTCATTTTTAATGTGAATCAAAACAGTTTCTTGAAAAGTCTTCTATTCCCAAATGATGAATGAAGATTCGATCTAACCAAATCGTTCATCTTCAATTGAAAGACGGTCATGTTTGTTTTTTTGAGAGGAGAGCACAGTCGAATCCAAGGACAAAATGACTGCTTAACTAATTAAACATTGAAAAGCTTTGTTGAACTCAATAGTAAACTGAATCAATAATTTTATATTTAATAGGATACGGGCAATGTCTTTCAATGATATTCATTGAAGAACAGATACAACAAGGCAATATTGATTCATGTTATCGATCGGTTAAAAATTTGATTCCGATTGATCATCGAATTGATAAATCATCATTGATTCAATGTGCTGCAAAAGTCAATTTGTGTTATCAAAAGAATTTATTTGAATTATTGAAATATTGTCAATCGATTGTAATTATTCCATCATGAAGATAAAACTTGAAAAAATATTTAATTCGAATCTATTTCAAAGGATATATCAAATCAATCAAGTCAATCAATCAACGAAATTATGCCAAGGGAACTCTTCGATATCAATCGAGACTCTTTTTCAATTAAATTCAAAGTAAATAGATCGATAATATTTTATTTTGTGGAGCTCACATATATTTTCGAAGAAAATAGTGAGTGCAGGTTTTAAGTCGGACCTTTTCGCCCCCCCCCCCCCCCCCCTCCTCCGCATTACAGAGCTTAGTAATAGAGAAAAACAGGTCTCCGACTTTCTAGAGTTTTTTTCGAAATTGATCAAGTTATAATTTTGAAAACTAATGAATATCATTGTTTGTGTGTTGATTAATATATATAACAGTGTGTAAGATCTGCTGTGAATCTCATGGATATGTAAAACAGACTTATTTGTCAATTAATTCAATGATTATAATAACAAGAATGTTAAATTAAGAAAAACAAATTTAAAAAAATGAAAAATAATCAGCGAATAGCAACAATACAAACAAAAAATAGAGCACCCGTAGAAAAACCTAAAAAATTTCTGTTCGAAATGCAGAAATTAGAGAAGTCTTTACTCTGATGATTGATTATCCTGCAAAACAACTGGAATCTACGAGAGACTTTTCACTTTATGTATTTTATATTACTTTAATGAGCCTAGCGAACATGGAAGTTCCACATTTCAGCCCCAAAGAAGCTACGCTAACAAAATTTTTTATCGAATTGATTGAGAATGAAACGACTTCAGATGAATTCTCAATCGATGCAAAATATTCGTCGAATGATCCAACGAGAAGAAAAAGCACGTCTAAGTATGTCAAGAATTTACAGTCAAGAAGATTCTATGATTTATTTACTCGTTTTCTTTTTTAAGGTTCAAAAGAAATTCTCGAAAAATTAATTAAAAATGTTGCTCAAGAAATTCGTCAGAATAAACTCAATCAATTCAATCAAACGTAAGTTTCTAAGCATTGACATCGATTTTAATTGATATACTTTCAGTATTGAAATTCTACAAACATCAAAACATCGACAAAGTTCTCTTGTTGATCAACAAATCGAACTTATCAAAAAACTTATTGAAGAAAGCAAGTAAAATATTTACCTTTTTAAGTTTGTCTTATTTTTTTATTTGCAATTCGAATAGAGTTTTATCCGATCGAGATTTAATAAAAAAAGAAAATTCAGATGAGCTTATCGATTGGACAGATCTTATTCAAACAAGAGTAATGAAATTTTGATTATTTGCATTTGAATTTGTGTTTGTTCCTATTGAATTAGATGAATAATGAATATACAAGTGAATCTTGTCTGCATGCTTGGCAACAAATCTGTTTACCAATGATTTATTACGATCAAAATTGGTCTTTACAAGAGGATCAATTACTCAGAAATCTAGTCGAAACTCATGGTTCATATGCTGATAGTTGGAATTTGATTGCTTCGCATTTCGTAAGACAATAACGATTCGCTTTTTTTTCTTATCGAAGAACGTGTCCCGAAATGGGCATCTTTTCTGCCCACTTTTTTTCGACTTTTATATATTTGAAAGGTGTCAAGGAGACACTAGAACTATTTCTTATAACTTAGTCTTGTGCTATTTGAAAGTGAGGTTTTTACTTCCTGTGGTACGTCCCAGGATTCGGAAATTTTTTTTTCTTCAAATATCTCCAGAAGCATATCATTTATATGCAGTTATACGCGTTGATTCAGAATATGACCTTAAAAATGAGAGAAACCTTGAACAACATGTTGACAATGAGTAAAAATTTGAAACAAGACCATTTTAGGGGTTTATTTGCTCAATTTACACTTCGAAATCGCTTCGAATTTCAATTTGAATATCATCTTCAGATCAGAGATCGTCATCAGGGCAAGGGTAAATTATTTTGTCCAGGTAAATTATGTACCAACCCTAAAGCTATAGATGTTTTCTTATTCAAAATTTTTAATCTTTTGTACAGTTACATGAGACATCGTTATAAGTTATACATGTTTACATTTCATCCAGTATATCTGTTAGCAACAATCTTTACGTTTCGCTATTGATTATCCTTTATTTTCTGTGAATAGAATAGACCAGAGGCCGTCATCAATACAGGGCACTCTGATACCTTGGCGCCGTGGCCTCAAGGAACGGCGAAATAGTTTGTCTTGGTAACATTCTTTTATAAAAAGTCATTTGAAATTGTTTACTAAATCCAGACATGAATCTTTCAGAACATCTGTCATCTATGTAATTCTACTAGCTAGTGATGATTTCATGTTTAGATCGATTTCATTAGAACTTATGTATATGATACTCATTCTAATTCGTTATCATTCAATACGATCTTTTTCAATTTCGAAGAGACTGAACACCCCTTATCAAATCATAAAAAAATGAATCTCGACCTCATGCTAAATAATGATGAAAATCTGAATCAATTAAATGATGATACGCAGTCATAAAGGATCGCTGTTTTCATTGACGAATATCTTGTTTTTGTATGAATATGCTTCTAGTGGCATGTGCTCGTGCTAAAAAAGGCAAGATATTGGATTAACAAGTATTATTTCTTCATCAAGAATAAGTTGAAATGACACCATTTTTACTCGATTATAATCTGATTTTTAATCGTCAAGGTTGACCATTTTTATTGTCAAACGTTTTCTTTTGATTTCTTTCTAATCGATCAAAAAGATTTGTCAATTTTTATTAATTAAAATTTATTAATGAATTTCACTCGAAAAAAAAAAACTTTGAAAAAATCCTAGAAATTAGAATAAAACAAAATATACGTTTAAAATCATATTATAATTGACTAAAAATTGCACAATTTCAATCAAATTTTGGCGAGATTCATGCTTGTTGTTATACATGGATAATATTCTTTTGAAATTATATAAAAAAGTATGAGCATTGAATATAAACACGAACAAAATTTTGGATGAGTTAGTTTCAGGGCAGGGCAGAGCGAAAAAAGTGCCCTGTGACAGTCTCTGATCCAGATTCGGTGGAACAACTGCATCTAATTATATACTTCATATAATTTTAGTGAACAATTTTGTGTCATTTGAAAAAGTTCGCCTGGACCACCCCACGAGAGAAAGTTGAAAAGTAGAATACTTCAAATTTGATTCAAACGTCCAGGAATGGGTCCGACTGAAGTTTTTACCATCCTTTTCTACTGTTTTGAAGCTCCCTGTTAGCATTTGGCCTACTTTTTAGTCATTCGGTTTTTCAACTTTTTTCCATCGGAATCTCAAGTCAATTTTTCGTACGACAACAAGTGGTTCACTAAAATTATATCAAGGATATAACTAGATGCAGTTCTTTCCGCTGAATCTAAATATGATATTCAAATTGAAATTTGAAACGATTTTCGAGAAAAAATTGAGAAAATAAAGCCCTAAGAATGGTCTTGTTTTAGGTTTTTATCCATTTTCAACATATTGTTCAAGTTTTCTCTCATTTTTGAGGTCATTAAGAATCATCATCATTAGAAACTGCATCGAACCGTACATATGGCTGTTTCACACCTGACCATTTTGTAATGGCAAAAGGTCGCAGAAAATGATGAATTATGGCTTGCTGTGAGATATTTCTAACTGCATGAAACATTTCGATTGCTTTTAAAACTGAATTGACTTAGAATGAATAATCTCAGCTTCAGATCATGAGACCCTGATGAAGTTGATGAAGGATGATATTGGACCCAAATAACGAGGTTTTATGAAAAAAAAGTTTTGTTTTTTTGGTTTTAGTAGTGCTCCGGTTTTTAGAGTTTCCTCGTAATCTACATCAAATTTCATAGACAGATTTAAAATTTCACCTTAAAATATGCATCCATTCAAACGTTATAACGTTTTGAATTTTTGTAAAATGTCGCAAAAATTTTTGGAAAAATTTAAAACGTTATAACTTCTGAGCGGATGCATATTTTAAGATGAAATTTTAATTCTGTGAATGAAATTCGACGTAGATTACGAGGAAACTAAAAATTGGAATACTACTAAAACCAAAAAAAACTTTTTTTCGCAAACTCTGAGCGCAAAAATTTTTTCATAAAGACTCGTTATTTAAATTCAATATCATCCTCCATAAGTTTCATCTGGGTCCCATGATCTGAAACTGAGATCCAGCATACCGAAAAATCCTGGGTACGCCCCTGCGGTCAAATGCTTTTGTCATACATAAAACTCAATCCAATCGAAATGTAAATTTGATGTTCGTAATCAGCACACAAAATTGCATATAAATGATATGCTTCTGGGGATACTTGAGAAAAAAAAACGTTTTTTTCGAATCCTGAGAGTACCACAAGAGGACAAAAACCTCTCTTTCAAATGGCGCAGAACTGAGTCATAGGAAATACTTCGAGTGTCCCTTAACACTTCTCAGATAGATAAAAGCCAAAAAACTAAGCAAAAAAAAATGCCTGTTCTTGGATGTCCTTTATTATTTCAACTAAAATCATTTAATGAAAACTGAAAATCTTTGCTTTTTTAAAGTCTAATCTCACAGAACTTTCTTCTATTGTTAAATTCTTACTTTAAAAAGAGAAAAAAGTTAATGAGTGAAATCATATTTCGATTTGCTGTCGGACAATTTGCTAAATCTGTCATTGGAATAACATCAATGGCGCTTTGTAATCAACATTCTTTTCGATTTTGATAAAATTATTTTTTTCTTCATCTTTTTCATTAATAAGAAAGAGAAGGAAGATTGCATCGATACTTATTTAAATCAAATGAAAACAGACATTTTAAAACAATTTTAATTCACTCAAATGTTTTGTTTGTTTCAAAAGAGAAAAACAAACTGAACAATCCCTTTAGAAACAATTCCATTGATTTCGAGATTTTCATTTTCAATATTGTAGATAGATGTTTCATAAGAGAAATAAAATTCGAAAATGTTTGAAGACTCTTCACGGATATGCGTTTGATTAATTTTCAGAAAAATTATTTTGTCCAACTGTTTACTCAAACACCGTTTGAATATGTGTGCAAGAGAAATCACGTAGTCGTTTATGAAAAAACGAATCATTAAGTTTATTCTTCTACTGTTCTTATAAACATAAAAAAAATGATTACAGCCCAATTAAAGCTCGTTCTAAACGGTAGACCACAAAAAATGAGCCTCGATCAGAATCCATTTTTGAAGTTTAATTTTTGATTTTTTTTTCGCAAGTCGTAAGTTTCATATATTGAAGAGAAATCAAAATAAAATTCTCCTAATTTTGATTTTTGTTTCTTGTTTAGCCTCAACGTTCGGCATATTTATGTGCAAATCGTTTTATGTTTTTGGAAAATAATCGTTTAAATAAAATGTAAATGAATTATTATTTCATTATTTTTTTTTCATAAAACAAATATCATTGAATAGATTCGGTTTTTTTTTCTCTTTTAAGAAAATTTTCAAACGATGAAATCAATCAATTAAAACAAGTTATTCAAAAATATCGAAATAAAAATTATATTCCATTAAATAAAGGTAATAGAAAAATGAATGATTATAAGAGAAAAAATTCATTTTATTGAATTTTATGTTCAAACTAAAGTTGCTTATGAACTTGGTTGTAGTCTTTCAAGTGTTCATCGTGAATGGAGAAATGTTGATCCAAATGTTCGACGAGGTCAGTGGAATAGAGATGAAGATAATGTAAACAATTTTAAACTCGATTTGATGTTTATCTTGAACCTGTCCTTGGAATTTAGATTCTTCTTGAGAGTATTTCCAAACAATCGACTCAACGAAAAATAAATTGGAATTTAGTTGCTTCCGATGTTACGGGTCGTTCCAAAACAAAATGTTTTCAACGATATCTTATTTTAACAAAAAGAACAACAAACAAATCATTTCAACTTCTCGATGATCAGTTTGTACTCCAACAACATCAAATTAAAAATGATAAAAAGCAAAAAAAATTTCCCTCAATTTCAAAAGAAACTCAAACAGATTAACAAAGAAAAAAAATCGATTAAAATTGCTCATGTTTTGTTTTTTTGCGAAAAATTTTGTTCTATCGTAAATGAAAATATTTATCATTTGAATATATATTTTGAAGGTAGTTACTCTAGGGGTGCAACAAATTCAAGGCCTTGGGATTTGGTATACAAAAATTTGAACTTGATTTAGACTTAGATTTTTGGTTTGGATTTAGTCTTAAGTGATCCAAATCCGACGAGGCTCTGTAAGATAAAGTATCATAAGGATGCAAAAAAGCCGAAGCCTTCGAAAGTGATATGAAATACTTTGGATTTGGCGTGAGTCTCAAAATGATCCGAACTCCAAGGGTTTTAATAAGATCAAATGCCATCAACGATAGATTCTTCATAGTTTCTCAATTTCTCTATCACTTATTTATATAATGTGGATATTAGTAAAGATTATACGCTTGAGTAAGCTGTAAGAAAAATGTTTTAGTGCGATTTTGATTCCGATTGTTCTTTCAGACTTTTCGCTAAGTATAAATGCTTTGCATTTGTATACTTCTACCTACTCTAGAAGGTTTGTATTTGTTCAATGACTGTAATAAAAACTCTGATCAAAAAGATATTATATCCATTTTTCTTTAAAGCTCCTAAAATATCCAAAGCATTATCTTGCTGTGTTCTTGTAGATACAAGTAGTCTATCATAATTGCATAATATCACATATAAAAACTACAAATTAATGCAGTTTTTTGCACTATTACTATGCCTTCATATGACAAGAAACTACTTTTCAGTTGCTTGTAAACAATTATTTGCTTGACATCTCAGAAAAAATTTGTTCAAATAAAACCAGCATATGTAAGCCATAACGTTGTTTTAGTGGCA